TCCCTTCTCCAGTCCCAACTCAAACTAGACCTTTACAATACCCCGAGGAAAGAGGAGATCCACTGGGCCCAAAGGTCGCGGGTCAAATGGCTGAAAAGTGGTGACTTGGACACTACTTTCTTCCACATAATTGCAAACTGTAGAAGGGACAACACCATCACCCAAATCCAAACCCAATGTTCCATTTACAATCAGCCTCATCTTATTGAAATGGCCATCATCGAGTACTACAACCTACTCAGAGCTTCAGTGAGAGCCACTCCCACGATGTCTAACCTCTCTTTTCAATCCATTCCCGCTAATCAAGCCCTCTGGCTTGAATGCCTCTTCTCCAAGACCAAAATCCTTGAAGCCATCAATGACTTGGGCAAAGACCGAGCTCCCTATCCTGACAATTTCGCAATAGCCCTTTTCAAAAGGTTTTAGGTCTCTCTAAGGTCCGACATGCTTTTTTTCTTCCCAGAGTTCCACGAGCGTGGGATAATTCACAAGGGAATGAATGCCACTTTCATTGCTCTCATCCCTAAGATTAAAGGGGCTGAGGATCTCAAGGATTTCAGACCCATTAATATGATTAACGATTCATATAAAATATTGGCTAAAGTTCTAGCTTCCAAACTTAAGGCATGTTTTAAATCGGGTTATCTCCCCACACCAGACTGCCTTTGTCAAAGACCGCGAGATTCTTGATGGAGCCCTGGTGGCACACAAGTGCATTCATTCCTCAATCTCCTCCAAAACTCTGGGTCTGGTGTTCAAACTTGATTGAGAGAAAGCCTAGGACCATGTTGACTGGGCCTTTCTTGATGAAACCCTTCACAAGATAGGTTTCGGCATTCACTGAAGAAGACGGATAAGCAGTTGTATTCACCAACCTCATTTCTCGGTCCTCATCAACGGCTCTCCCTAGGGCTTCTTCTCGTCCTCCAGGGATCTTCAGCGGGGGGAACCTCTCTCTCCTTTCTTATTTGCAATAGTAGCAGAAGTCTTTAGTAGAGCCACCTTCAGAATTTACCAAGAGGGCCTCCTGGAGGGCTTCAAAACAAGCATGAATGGCCCCACCATCTCCCGCTTCCAATATGCCGACGACACAATCATTTTATGTGACGTGTCAACCCAACAGGTGGACATGCTGCTACTCTTTCTTAAATGCTTCCACTTTGCCACAGGCTTCAAAGTGAGCCTGGCAAAATCGAAAGTGATTGCTACTGCCCTTGACCCTGACTCAACCCAAGCTCCTACTGAAAGGTGAGGTTGTGCGATTGAGTCTCTACCCTCCAGCTACCTAGGTTTTCCCTTGTGCCATGGAAAACCCAAGAAGACTCAGTGGAGCCACATTATTGATAGATTTGAACGCAAATTGGTCACTTGGAAAGGCGATACCTTTCCTCGGCAGGCAGGGTTGCCCTCATTAAGGCAACCCTCTCCAACGTCCCCATCTACCAAATGTTGCTCTTTCACATGCCTGTCTCAGTAGCACAGTGCTTGGAGAAATTAATGCGCAACCTCCTTTGGTCGGGCAACAAGGACACCAAGAAATACCACCTCATCTCTTGGAGTAGGGTTTGCATGCCCAAAACCTTAGGTGGTCTGGGTATCTACTTCCTCCAAAAGAACAAATAACCTTACTTGACAAATGGTGGTGGAAAATGGCCACCCAGGAGGGCCACTTGTGGCACCAGATCCTGAGCTACAAATACAACCTTCATTCCTCCCCTTTGTTTCTCCTTGAGAGGGCTGGCCACAACTCTTTCTAGAAATCCATTTTTTGTTGCCTCCATCCATTCAAAACCCTCATTCGCTTCCACCCTAGGGTGGGCAACAAAATCAAATTCTGAGACGACCATTGGTTAGGTGAAACTCCCTTGAGAATTCGCTTTCCTACCCTCTACAGCTTAGCTAGAAACCCCGGGGCCCTGGTCACTGACCTCTTAACATATGGTGGGAATTCCCGGGATTGGATCCCTAACTTCCGTATAGATCACCAGGACGAGGAGGTGCCTGCCTTCTTGGAACTCTCCACTATCTTACACTCATTTTTCTTCCCTTCTTGGGGCCAAGATCGAATTCTTTGGACCCCGACCTCCTCGGGCACCTTCACTGTGTCTTCCTTTTACCATAAGCTCATCAACCCTGCTCTTGCCTCCTCTCCTCAGCAGGCCATGCTCTCACGAGTTTGGATGCCTTTTATACCCCCCGAAAATCCAGGTCTTTTACTGGATAGTATTGTCAGAGCGATTTCTGACAGTTGACCAGCTTCAACGACGAGGCATGTAAATCCACAACTGCTGTCCCATGTGCAGTAAGGAAGAAGAATCGAACGTGCATCTTTTTATTCATTTCTCCTTAGCATCTCACCTTTGGGACGACCTACTGCAGTCTTTCAGATGGTCCTGGGTTACACCTGATTCTATCCCTCATCTCTTCTGTCAAATGCAGTTCTTCCCCTGGCCCAAGGCCGGCATTCTTCTTTGGAAAGCTTCAGTGGCTGCAACCCTTTGGACCATTTTGATAGAACGCAACCGTCGAGTTTTCCACGGACAGGTCTCGCACTGGCTCTCTCTCAAGGAGGTCATCAGGTCCACTGTAATCTTTTGGGCCGCCAACTACAACCATTTCAAGCTCATCTCCTCCATCGACCTTCAACTCAACTGACGGGCCATGCTTCACCACAACCCCAGACCCATCCCCCGCTCATCCCTTTGGAGGCCCCCAGATTCTGTCCAAACCGAACTTAATTTTGACGGCTGCTCCCTCGGCAACCTCGATCCAGCTGGTATAAGGGGCATCTTTAGGAACCATGCGGGTGCCACTCTCTTCTCCTATGCCTCTCCTATTAGTCTTGCGGACTCCACTTCGGCGGCACCCTGAGTACTTTGAAGGCCTCAAATCTTACGATTCCTCTTGGAGCACAGTCTTGGTTGCGGAGGGTGACTCTAGAAATGTCATCTCCTGGGCCTCATGCAAGGCCACTCCTCTTTGGAGACTCATACCTATTTTTTATGAGATTTTTGACATTTGCAGGCGTAGTCAGGTCTTATGGACTGATACCTGGCAGGAGGCCAATCAGGTGGCCAACGCGTTGGCTAAGGAGGGCGCTTCCCAAGCCATATCATAGAAAACTTTTATTTCGGTTCGTTTTGTATAAGCGTTGTAGTTTTGAATGTATAGCATTTTTTTACTTAGCCTGAGGCCTTTTTCTGTCCTTCGTGGACAGTATTTTTTGTAGACTGTACAGTTCGTTTACTTAATACAAAGTTAACATATTCAAAAACAATAAATTTCATTAACAGCTTTTGCCCCAATTTGGTCCCACAGGACCACCATATGTGCATCCCTTATGTTTTCTTCCTTTCATCACTTTTCGTCTTTAATTGATAATTCCAGTGAAAGTAGGTATACCAAGTACACTCTTGGGATTTAGGCTGGTGGAAAGACATTTGGTTTGCATAAGGGAGGTAAAGGGGTCGGATCTTGCAGTTAAATAAAAAGGGAGGTAAAGGTGTCGGATCTTGCAGTTAAATAAACCAAGCTGAACCACACCTAACTAAACAAAATCCCGAGGTGCCCAAAAGCCCCATAAGCCTTGGTCATCCTTTTGATTACTAACTTGCCATGGTTAGACTTCCTAAGGACATGGGAAGACACCTTTATAATAATTATTATAATAGATACAATTGACCTTTGAGCTACCTATATCCCCTCAAGGGCAATTTATTTTTGTCCATGGTTCCTTCTTGTAATTAACACAAGAATTTTGGACTCTTTCAGAAGCTAGTATACAACAACCAGGTGTATGGCTAATGATCCATGCTTTGGGGTTGAAAGCATAGTTGCCAGAAGCCCCTATGGAGTGCGAAGTGCAGTTCTAAGGAAGCCCGATTCCCAAGCAGAAGTGATTCATAATACAAGAAGTATATGGAGCGCATTTTAAATGAATGTGAAACACATGTCAAACAGAAATTTATGTGAAACATTTGGGAATTGAAATAAGGACTTGATGGGTGTTGGTATTATTTAGTATTTTGGTAATAACTTTCTAACAGTTGGTCTAAGAATGGTGAAGACCTTAGACTTTCCCTAAACCTGTCCAAGCCTATGTAAAAAAGATGGGTTGCGTTAGGTAGGCAGTCATAACTTTCTAGCAGGATCACCAATTGAGGTTGTTCCACTCCCATGGGAAAACTCATGTTGTTCCCTATGTCTTAGGATATATGTTTTAGGTTCATACTTATGTGCTTGTGAGGGGGAAATGGAAAATCGGAAGTTACACTTCAAGAGAGAGAAAGATTGATTAGAACTTAAAATGACATACTACCTTAATGGGTATGGATGTGCATGGAGAGAGAAGAGAGAGAGAGAGAGAGTTAACTACATCTACTACAATTAATATCTATGCATGCGTATGGGGAAGAGAGAGAGAGTTACTATATTTCAACGTTTAATTTTTATTTATGCATGTGTATAGAGGGGTGGGGGGCACTTTCAGCCTTCAATGTGTATGCATGTATATGGGCGGGCAGAAAGAGAGAAAGTATAACTAGGCTGAGTGAGATACGTGTTAAGCAAAATACTCATGTATGTTCTTTGATTCATACAATTCTATCTGGACGCTTCTAATTTTGTTTGTCAATCCATCTAAGTTTCTCTTCCCTTTTCTAACTCTCTCCACTTTTGGTTCCCACATGCGTTCCTATTGCTTCCCGAGTGAATCCCAATGTGGTTCTGTGACAGTTTATAAGTGTTTCTTTGCATCTTGTTGCCCCTCACTTATTCGTTCAGTGTTTCTCATTTTTGTATTTCAAATTTTTACTGAACTTTGCGGATGTAAATGAATCACGTAAATGATGGTGAAACTTTTGGATTTCAATGGTGTCTCAAAACATTTTATTTGTCTTGTGGGTTACAAAGAGGGCAGTGAATTTTGCAAGCTGGAAATGAATAATAATTTTAGTGTTATTATATTAATGGCTAATGCAGTTTAGCTATTGTTGGAGCAGGTAGTCCCAGACGCAGGGCACTCTGCAAATGAACCAGGAATAGCCGCAATGCTCGTGGCAGCAAATGAGAAACTCAAAAACAAATACACAGGGAAATGAAGTTAGAGAGAGAGAGGTTGCTGGAAGAAAAAAAAAAATGACCAAAGCTTGTTTGAGCTCTGTATCTGGTGTCCATGCAAAATAATTTTGAAAGTGAAATATGGAATGAAATGAAAAACTGTTGCATCTACAGGTTAACGTTTACAGTTAGAGCGTATATTTGTTACAATGCCAAGTTTGTTAGTTTGGCTTGTGCATTAATCGCCATGCTTTTGACATGACGAAAAACTGGTTTGCAAAATCGTGAATATATCAGTTGTAAGTTGTAACAGCAGCTGTAATGGGAAGCTTTGCTTGTTATTTGCAACCACATATGAAATATGTGTGATTGCTATCGGCAGCTGTGTGATGTGAATGGATAATTGGAATAGCTTTAATTATATCATGCTTTAGTTTCATTTTAATTTTTTCTGTTAATCATCTTATATGAAATTTAGGGTATGCCCAATCCTTGCAACCGTACACCTAAAAAAAAATCATCTTATATGAAATTTAGGGTATGCCCAATCCTTGTAACCGTACACCTAAAAAAAATTTAATAAAATATTTATGATAAAATTAAACAACCAAAATAAGCAGAATATATAATGAGGCTATTTGCTTTTGGTATAAGCTAGTCACAATTAATTTTGATCATCGGTTGTGAAATGGGTGGTTACATTTATTTCATAAGTCAAGCTCGTTCAAAAAAAAATCTCAAATTTTGTGACATTTTTAAGCTATCAAATTTCACATCGGATGGTTATAAGTAATGGTGATGTTGTATCAAAGATAAATGGGCTCATTATATACAATCTCATCAAAATAACCTTGTAATTTTTTGAGTATTTTTGTTATTTTATTTTATCAAAAAATATTGTCTATTAGGTGATCATTTATTATTATTATAAAAAAATCACAATTATTTTTAATCCTTAGATATCAAATTCGATAGCTTGAATTATGACACGACGTTCGAGCAATTTTTTGTTTTGATTATAAAGTTTAGTCGGTGACACTTGCAAATGCCTGATTTAAAATTTGAAGGACATAACGTATTAAAAGTAAAAGGAGTCTTTGTATACTTTTTTTAATTAAAAATATTTCTGTACTTTTATTACGTGCCCCTCTATAATAAGTACATCTATAAAGTAAAGAATAAAAACAAAATAATGTATCATCCAATCAATTTCGGACACTTGGACGTGGACTTATGAAATTATAGACAAAATTATGCCAGTTGTCCGTGGCGTGGGCGGAAGTTGTATAGGAAAAATCAAGCGCTTCAAATTTTAGCTGTACGATTGGATCAGAACCGGCCGTTTCTGATTTTGGCTGTGGCCATAAGATGTGATGTTTTTTTTATTTTGATTGGGATTGTATGTTATGATATTATTTATCTTTGTTACAACAATTACTCTTAGTCATTAAATGTTAAAGTCATAGTTTGGGGTATCTTTCAAAGTTTACAAAATTTATTTATTTTTCAATTTAAGAGTTTAGTCAATGATAGGGTTGCGATCACCCATTTTAAAATCTAATGGGCAAGAGTAATTGATACGTCTTTGTACTAAAAGTAAATAGTCTCTTTGCATATTTTTTATTTTAATTATGATGACCATTTTTTGAAGGCCATTTTAAATGGAATACAATAAACCCATTTACTTTTGATACAAGGAGGTCACAATCATTCTTGATCATGAGAATTGAAATCGAGTGATGGAAGATATGGCATTGTTCAGGTACAAAGTCTAAAATAAAATTTCTCAAATGTTGTAACTCACTTCTACATATTAAATTTCACATCCAATAGCTAATAGCGATTGTAACCTTCTTGCACTGAAAATAAATACTTTAATAGTATATAAACCCGTTTTAAATGATAACAACACTAGTATTGCATGCATCCATTAAAGTGCATGTTCTCTTTGATTGAAAGTGTGATACCTGTTGTGTCATGTAAATTCATTGTTTCTTAGTGATAATATGGAGCGACCCATCATAATATCCATACCATGCCTCATTTAGTTTATCTTTATTTAAAGCATCTTCCATTGATTTTAAAAGTTCATTCCCTTCTTTTGCATGTACTTTCTATTTTCTATCCAAAAATTATGCTTTTCTTGTTTTTGAATCGTATATGCAAAAGAAGGAATAAATTTCTCCTTCGCGTATGCCTTGCTCATGTGTGGGCGAAATATATGCTTGCTTCCTAGGCATGAAACTTATTTAGAAGTTTATTTTGGTCTGATATTTTAGGCTATACCGAGCATTATCAATTGATTATTTTAAAGAAAAAGAAATTTTTTTTAAATTTTGATATAAGTATGAGGATTAGCAATTGATTATTTTAAAGAAAAAGAAAATATTTTTAAATTTTGATATAACTATGAGGATTATCAATTGATTATTTTAAAGAAAAAAAAATATTTTTTAATTTTGATATAACTATGCCGAGATGAAAAATAGGTAATATATTTTTTTTTTTGACAGAAAAAATTAGAGAATATTACATTGTGAGTGAAAACTTTACCAACCTAAAACCCAAGAGAACACCTTCTCTCTCGGAAACCATGTTTATGGCGTTCAAAACAAAATTAGGCTTTTTCTTAAAGCAAATCTAAGTGCCTACTTAGCTTTTCCGTTTTGGTTACGTATTTGGGGTGCTATGCATGCTCCTATCTGGGGTTTTGATGAGGGAGCAAATGTGCATTTTGCTCCAGCTGGATCATAAAATCATCTCATTTCATCGACTTTCCTTATATCATTTATGTGCATAAAAGTGGTGGCGCCTGCCCCGTATGGACGGGTCTTAAAAGGTGTATGCCATTTGCCTCTTTGCAATTAATTTTAGTAATTGCCGCCTCCTAGTGCTCCACTCGAAGTTACAAATTTACTTCTACAACAATTTTATTATAGGGAAAAGTTTATATAGAGCCGAGGCTCTAAACAATCAAATTTGAGCATATCTTGAAAATTTCATCAGAAGAAGTTGTTTTGATGCTCAAATATCTTCAAATTGATCATCTAGACATCAAAAAGCATGGACAAGAGAAAAAAGATGAATTTTAAGTTTTGAAAATAGTGTACTAACACATTTTTGGACCGTCAATTTTCAATATTTTCAAGCTTTTATAGATTTATCAATCTACACTATTTTTGAAGCTTTAAACTTTATAAATAAATATGAAAATATGTTTTTAAGGATATCACAAAATTTCTAATATTGAAACCACATTTCTCAATACTATTTCAAGGTAGACTCTAATTTGATTATTTAGAACCTAGGCTCTATACAAACCGCACCCTTTATTATATCATTCTTTGCAAATTACATCATATGACAGGCAATTGGCCATTACATCAGTGAAACAAATTACAACAACTAAAGCAAAAAGAATCAGAGACACAAATTTACACAATCGTTAAAACCTCAGCAGTAACTCCTGTTTTTGCTAAATTATCCGCCTCCATATTACATTCTCTCTCATTCCATGCCTATACAGCAATTCGACACCTCCCTTACCAACTCATATAGAAACCATGGAAACTCAGCCTCCTTAATCCATTTGATTACATTCAACGAAAATCCACCGGCATATTGAATCATTTACCCGCTTTACACCTTGAAGCAATGATCTTAATTCTGCTTCATTCACAGTTATTACCCCCAAAGGACTATAATATTTGTCAGTACACCTTCGTAACAATCCCAAATTATACCACTTATACCAGTTGGACCTGGATTTCCCAATGAACTTCTATCAAAATTTAGCTCGATCCATTTTTCTCCTGATAACTTCGAAATCCCACCCTTGTCTCTTTTACTGATCTTTAAACCAATAAAACATGTAGGTTATGCATTAAATCCAACCTAAACACCCCCACCACTCCTCCTTAACTGTTAATCATTCAGTAGTTCTAACTCTTATTTTTTTGCTCTTAATTCTACACTTGTTTTTCAGTCTCGTCACCACTTCAAATACTCTCTCCCTCTCTTAAGATAGAAGTAAAGATGAGGATCGGTAAGTTTAGCACAAAGGTAAATCCTATTTAAAAAGAATATCGAGTTTAGAGCAACAGATAATCCTGTTTAAAAACGATTTTATGAATGCCACGGAAGAGCCTTTGACATTTATTTACAAACTTGTTAGAATTATCAAATCACCATATTAAAAGTGGTCCTTTTACGTTTTCACATGTCTCTTAAAAATTACAGTGAAAAATGGGTTGAAGTCCTATTAAACTAAGTAAAAGTCTCACATCAAAATTCACCGAAAATTATAGTTCTTGGATCAAAAACTTTCAAATCGATTATCTCAACCCTGACTATTATGATTGTAAAAACAAAAAAAGATTTCAAGCCTTAAAAAATAATGTATATTGTAACACACTATCTAGACCATCTATTTTACCCTAAAAGTAAGTGTCTATGAAACTACAACTTCTGGACTATTTTTTAAGCTTCAAATTTCATAATCCATATTGAAAATTGATTTTAGAGCCATAGAGATTTTCAATGCCCAAAGTGCTTTCCGTACAAGGATTTGAGGTAAGGCTTTATTTAGTTTTCATAAAACCTAGGCCTTATTGAAACCACATCCTTCATTAAATAGCCCTCCTCAAGTGATAAAAATGTCAAATTATAAAAAGGGTAATGATCCTATTAGACCCTCCCACACCATGTGTGTAGGATCCAAAGGATCACCATTAAATATAGCACAGATATCTAGAAAAGTTATCATATGAATATGAGATTTGGTTTTCCTAGAGATATGTGTCATATTTAATGGTGATCCTTTGAATTCCTACACACATGCACGTGGGAAGGTTTCATACGATCATTACTCTTATGAAAATACCCTTAATAGTTCAAGATTAATAACATGCGACAAATAAATGAAATTTTGATAATTTAACTCCACTCTCATGACCCAAGCCAAATAAAAAAATGCCCCTACGGTTGAATATCAGTGTTTCAAAACCCATAAATCTATGTGGAGAATCACCAATTCAGGCTGGTTTTAGACCGAACAAAATTCAAGAAGGTATCAGTACTAGCCCAATTTCTTCTCTAAAACCTCCTTTCATTTTATTTTATTTTTCCTTTTTGAAGCTTATCTACTGTTTTATTTTAGTTCACTTAAATTCTCTCATAAACCTTTATTTTAATTTTATTTATATTTATTTATTTTTAATATATTTTTGAATCGTCAATTCCAACCGATCTGGATCGGCAACCACGTACAACTTATTACAAATTGCCAGATCCTTCACAGTTGGACGTACCACTATTTACCATATCATCCAAAATAAGATTCCTCAACTTTCATATCAAACGGCCAAATTTCAAACCACTACTTACCGTATCATCCAAAATTAGATTCTGAACTTTCATATCAAACGGCCAAATATCAAGACTTAATACTATGTACCATCTTTTAAGACTGCCATCTCATTGCCCATTTCCAAATATGTACAAATGAACGGTGATCGTGACCACCCAAGTCCCATATATCTTTTGTACTTCCTGAAACAAAACCTTAGCGTTTGTCATCCCGAAAAATATTTCGGCTTAATCCCAAAAAAACAGTTATTTTAAAAAAAGAAAAAGTTTCCATAGGGCCGAAGCTCTAAACAATCAAATTAGAATCCGTCTCAAAAATTTCACTCAAAGAGATTATTTTGATGCTCAAATACTCTCAAATTGATATCTCTAAACAATCAAATTAGGCCGTATCAAAAAATTCACTAAAAGTTGTTTTGATGCCCAAATATTCTCAAATTGTTATCTCAACATCAAGATGCATGAACATGAGAAAAAAATAGATTTTAAGTGGTAGAAATAATGCATTTTGAGACCATCAAGTTTCAAGATTTTCAAGTTTTCATAGGTCTGTTTGATCTACACTATTTTTTAAGCTTTAAATTTTATAATTAAAGATGAAAAGATATTTTAAAACTATCACAAAGATTTCCAATGTTGAAACCACATTTCTCGATACTATTTGAAATTGGGCTTTACTTTGATTGTCTAGAGCCTCAGCTCTATACAAACCACACCCTACAAAAAAAAAAAAAGAGGACATCTCAAGGAAATAAAAAGAAAATGTGGGGAATTCCCATGATTTTATATCATCAAATTCAAATTATACCTTCTCTGATTTGATTTCACATATAACACCCAACATATGACAGAATAAAGCTGTGAAGCTCTACAAATCTCCTCTCCAGAATGAGGAAGAAAAAAAAAAAGAAACAAAATTTTCTTACAAAAAGAATAGAACACCCCCAAAAGAATCATTAAAAAACCATCTTACAGATCCTAAAGCTTCTTCCTCTCGAGCAGCAAATATCAATCTGCATGGCATTTTCTCCCCCCAGGCTTCAGAGAGAGAGAGGTACACAAGTAAACAAGTACCTCATTTGGGGAGGTGACATGGGGAAATGAAAGAACTAGAAGAGATGAGAAATGAGTCTGTCTTCTCTCTGTATCTTCACGCCCTTATAATTTCTTCATTAAAGGCCCATATGTTTCATCTTCCTTCTCTTTCTAACCCAATCTCACTCTACCTGCTCACCAATCAAATCCAACCCCACAACCAAGAATGAGACCCCCTGAAACAGTAAAAAGTAGAAATGCATCCCCTGTGCTGATAGCAAGCTTCTTGCAGAGGCGGTTAAAAGCAAGAAAGCAAGTGCCAGCTCCTTCCTGTAAATCCTATTATGTTTCTTCTTCTTCTCTTTCTCTCTCTTTGCATCAGCCTTTCCCATGGCCTCGAGGTTGGACTCTGATAGCCCACGAGCATGACCCGTCCTCTCTTTCTCTTTCTTTGCATCAGAAACAGGGGCTGGGTCCTTATCAATTAGAGAGAGCAGGTCACCCTCTGAGGATCTACCTGATTTCTTTGTAACTACCCATTCATATGCACTTCCAAGTTGAAAGAGACCAGAGACCATGGCATTGAACTTTGTAACTGACATGGTGTTTTCAAAAAGAAGATAAGGGACTATAAAGGGGAAGGATTTTGGAGCAGGGAGAATGTTGAGGAAGGACATAGCTGCAGGAATATAGCAAACGACCCAAGCCGGGAGCCCAGCTTCAGGTACGAACATGGTCATGGGGAGAATGATACAGAAGAGAGTGAAGGAGTAGAAGGGGAGGATGAGCTTTCTTAAAAGGAAGAAAAGGAAGATCAAGTTTGCCTTCTTTGAAACCGAGATCTGTAAAACAAGAGGGTTTACAAAGTTTAGAGGGTGAAAAATATTGAGTTCAGATATAGATATAATTAAATAGCTACAAAGTTCTGAGATTGATGGTTGATTGCCCTTTTCAAGCTTAGTGTTGAAGTTTTTCTGAGTTTTAGCTCAAACGGCAATTAAGAAAGTTCACATTACTATAGTTTATTTTTCAGTCTCATGGCAATCTGAAGTTTACATTCTCTTTTCTTAAGGTAATTTTATCATTCAATGTTCAAGGTTTTGTCATTCTGCAAATTTGAAACTTACTTGTGCTTAAGGAATTGTTTGGAAAGGTAATATTCATATTTCAGAGGGAATTTGAGGGTAAGAAATATATAATGCGTGCAAGAAAATAAATGATAAAGCTACAGTTCATAATTCATTGACAACTCTCTCTCTCTCTCTCTCTCTCTCTGACACGCGCACCAAAACTTACTGTTCACACTTCATGGTGATTTGCAATTACTGGGATTACAAGTTTGCTATTGCTTTTCGGGCAATGTAACATCTTACAATGCCATTTATTTTTTGCAGGGGTATTTATGATACTCTAAATTTTAAATTTTGAATAGTCACAAAGATCAAAAGTATTTTTTTGAACTTATAAAAGTAAATATTTTAAAACTACAGTTCCATGGCAATTTGAAATTTTGAAATTCTGAATTGGGCTATTTCTACAGTTTAGACACATAATTAAATTGCATTTGCAATTTTAAATTCACAAGAAGCAGATTTAACGGTTAACAATATTCGTACCTTCGATCGAATGATATCAGGAAGACATAGCCGAAATAATTGCATGGGGCCTGAATGCCATCGATGCTGCTGCTTTCTATAAGCTTCATATGATTCAGGGAGCTCACATTGACACTGGTACAACACAGATGACAACAACCACCATGAAAGAGTGCTTGCAAAGAGGGGAGAGGAAAAATAAGCAAAGCACAGCATCCCAATTACTCCCACAACCCTCTAGAGATGACATAACCTTCAAAGATTACTGTCTCCAGCTCAAGGAAGAGAATGCCCCATTTTTGCCAGTGACTAAAATGAAATAAGTTTCATGGAGTGTTCAATGAACACCCCATGTTTCCATATGGCCATTTCAGGGCACAAAACTGTGATAGTAATTGGGGGAATACTCTCTCTGCCATAGCTTAGCAGAAACAAAATTCTCGTAATATCTTTTCATTGAATATCAATGTAATGAGTGTGTGCATATACTTGAGTGTGTATTCAATGAGATGGATTTTATGAGATTTTACTCAGTTTCACGTGTCTGCCTGAATGTGCATGAACCGTGATTGTGTTTATGTTTTTGTATGTGTGTGTGAGAGAGAGAGAGACTTGAGAACATTTCTAATTACCTCTACATCATTGAGGAAGATGAATTTCCAGCCATGGAGGTGAGCTCTGACTGCTATATCCATATCCTCAACGGTTGTTCTCTCAAGCCACCCTCCTGATTCCTCCAGTGCCTTAATCCTCCATACACCAGACGTCCCATTGAAGCCAAAGAAATTGATGAAAACCCCATTAACCTGTTGCTCCACTTCAAAGTGAAATGACAAATTTATGTTCTGTAACCTTGTTAACAAGTTCTCATCTTTGTTCACAAAAGACCACCTTGCCTGAACCAGACCCACATCATCCCTACCCTATGAAACCCAGAAAAAAGAAGAAATAAGCACACCCATAAACAGATTCAGTAAAGTAACCTACTTATACACACACACACACACACACAGAGGGAAAAGATTTGAAAATGTACCCAAAAATGGGGGACTGTCTTCTTTAAAAAATCAGGTGCTGGTTGGAAATCAGCATCAAAAATGGCCACAAATTCGTAATCCTTAACATAACTACAATTCATAGCTGACTTGAGGTTCCCTGCCTTGTAGCCATCTCTTATGACCCTGTGTCTGTAAAGGATTCGGACCCCATTTTGCTGCCATTTTTCTACTTCTTCCTTAATAAGTACTTGGGTTGTAACATCATCTGAATCATCGAGGACTTGAACGAGCATTCGAGCTTTAGGCCAATCCATATTACAAACAGCTGATATTGATTGTTGATATACCTGTTCTCCCCACAACAGTAAACCGTAAGAAACATGTAATGATTGAAAACATAAGCAAATTACAAAGAGAAACACCAAGAAAATCAACTACAATATCAATACCATACAAACATGCAAGAATAGAAAACACAGAGCATTTTACAGAGAGGAACACCCATTAAAGGAACTAGTTTTATCAGAGAGATGTATGATACAATACGCAATTCAATTACAGAAAAGAAAACAGAGAAAAATAAACAGGGGTTCTTGGTTGTTACCTCTTTTTCGTTGCACATTGGGATCTGGACAAGAACCATGGGGAAATTTGCAGAGTCCCCCCCTTCCAGATCAATTGATTCAGGCCCAAGCTCTTGCAAAGGAATGGGTTTGATCTTCTTAAACCTGATCCAGAAACAACCTAAGCATAAAATCAGCCTATCAACTGATTGGATCAAGAACAGCACGATACATATATCAGCGAGGAGCTGAAGTGGTGGAGCTATATATTCCACTCTAAAGAAAACCCAAGAAGAATAAACAGAATGGAGGAGGCTCTGAACATCAAGAGATTGAGGGAGATGAAGACTTGATGGATTGAAATGCCATCCCTTTGCATAGGCCACAAGCTCAAAACCCAGCATCAGAATGGCTGTGAAAAGGAAAAATTTGATGCAAGAATAGAACCGGCTTCTGCCACCTTTGTTCTCATCCGGGTTTTGGGTTTCCCTCTCTAACTCATTCCTAATGGGCTCTGAATCAGTTCGGCCAGAGGCCAAGCGCCTTTTAATGGCGGCTAGGAGGTTGCAGGTTCCACTGGCTATGGAGGTTAAGCAACCTGCTGCTTTGTGGGCTTTGAGGAGAAGAACCCAAGTGAGTTGCTTCGCATTTTTGCCTCTTCCTTTGTCACCTCCATGAAAATGGTCTTCAGGGCTCTCGAGCTCGAGCATAGACCAGTTTGGATTCTGCATCTTCACTACCACAGGGGTTCCCCTATGGCTCTCCTTTGTCCACCAATCTCCCATGTCAAATGCTGGTGCCATGGACTCCAGCAATGTAGCAAGTGGGTTCAATCACAGAGATTTAACCTCTCTCTATTTATGGGGTGATCTTTCTTCCACAGAGAATGACCAATGTGAGAAATTTCCCTCTATCCCCCGCCTTTCTTTGCGGTGATCTCTCTTCCACCCTGAATGGCCGATATGTGAAAATTGCCCTCTCTAACTTTCTCTTTCTAAAACCCTGTATTTTTCCGTTCTTCTTTCCTCTCCTTTTTATCAGTGCATCGCCATTATCCAGGCCATCCAGAAGGGGAAGAATAATGGGGGAAGAAGATGGAACATTTAAGAAAGAAGTGAGGTTTTTGGGATCCAATGACACAAATCAGCCCTTTAAAGACGTGTGGATAAAAGGGTTTGGAAACAAAGGCAAGACGTCTAATTCATGGAAACAACAGGAATAAGAGCCCTGCCTTTAAGACCCTCAAAGCCCTAACATACGTCCAAAGCCGCTTGTAAAGGCCAGCTTTGCACGGTTGAAATACAAGGGCGGGGCCCTCCCATTACTATAGAGAGAGAAACTAGAGAGAGAGTGAAAACAGAAAGTAGAGAGTGTGTGTGTGTGAAACTGTCAATAAATGGGGCTCTGAGACGCGTCTATGTGGAAATTTTGACGTCAAAATACACGTTTTTGAACTGTAAAATCCACCGGAAAGAGAAACTGAAATGATAAAAGATTAAAAAGTTTGGATTAAACAACTAAGCAAATCTGGTTTAAAGCTCAAAAGGAGAGAGGATCGGAGGTGTATTTCCCAATGGTGGAAAGGCGAAGCAGGGTTCAACGGTCTGGATTTAAGGAGCGGCCTTCTTTTAACCCAGCTTCCGAGTGATTCAACGGTGACGATTCGAGGATTTACCGAACGCTATCGATGCCACCGTTTCTTCACTGTAAAATGTGGAGGATTGACCCGATCCTTTAATGGAGGAGAAATAGAAAGGTACAGAAGAAAACGTTAGATAAAGTGAGGAAGCGGCTCTAGAATGGGCCTACAGTTTAAAATTGAGAGGTTTGCAGAATAAATAAATGAATAATAAACTAATAATACACCTAATGCGTAAAATAACCAATAAAAAGGCACAATGAAGAGGTTCAGAGCTTTAGTTTCAGAGGAATTCACTCATTACAAGACATAAACGCAATGACTATACAATGCTTTTTATGAATCTGAACAAATCGAAGCCATTTTCTATTTTCTAGTGAAATCCCAAAGCATAAATGCAGGCGTAAAAGCCAGAGGTTTCAGTGAATTTGAGGCCAAATCTCAAAAGCACAGTGATCAAGCAGTAGAAACCATTATTTTTAAGAATTTCATGTAAAATAAATCGATAATAGCGTATTTTTTAAGAAATCAACTGCAAAAAACGCGATTAGATCATTTTTTTTTTTTTTACTGCGTTGAAAATGCTGAGGTGATAGTTCAAGATCAAAGGGATTCACCGTCGAAACTTCTCACAACAGTGAAAGCGCAAGCTGTAAACCTCAATGGAGAAAAAGCTCGGATTCTCACAGGGAATATCCGAAACGAATCATCTCTTACAAACGATTCGCCGATCGATCTCTAATCCAGCTCTAACCACCATTCTCTCTCTACAACCCTCATTCTCTCTCTAAACATTGCCATTATTTTAAGTTTTTAACGATTCCCTTTCTAAAACTCGTTCTCTCTCTCTAAAAGTTGCTTTCAAGCCGCCAAAAAGACAGAGAGGCACGATTACGGCCCACTACAGCACGAAGGTTGTCAGACGTGCGAGCAACAACGCGATGAGAGAGACAGTCAGAACACAAAAGGTCGGAACCCCATTTTCGTCCGCACGCAAATGGTGAAGGTACCCTTGTTTTTCTCGTTTTGGCCGGGAAAACTGCCGGGAAACTTGTGGATCGCGTTAGCCTACTTTACCGGTAGTCGGAAATATAGCCGGTAAAATATCGGGGAGTAACAAGTGTTCGTTATTTCAAGGGAGGGTGGGCCCGACCTGAGACGACCAGGACCCAGTCGCTCTTAAAAAAAACTTGCTGACAAACTTAGTATTGGTTTTGGAAGGATGAGCGGGTTGCGGTTTGTATAGAGCCTAGGCTATAAACAATCAAATTAGAGCCTATTTTTAAGTAGTTTCGAAGAAAAACGTGGTTTTAATACTGGAAATCTTTTTGAAAGGGGGGAAAAGTTTATATAGAATCAAGGCTCTAAACAATCAAATTAAAACCTACTTCAAAAATTTCATTAGAAGAGGTTGTTTTGACGCCCAAATATCATCAAATTGATCATCTCGACATCAAGTTACATGAACATGAGAAAAAAATAGATATCAAGTTTCGAAAATAGTGCATCTTGTAACGTATTTTTTAACCGTCAATTTTCAAGATTTTCAAGTTTTTATGAATCTGCTTAATCTAAATTATTTTTAAATTATATAATTAAAGATGAAAATATTTTTTAAGGCTATTACAAAAATTTCCAATATTGAAACCATATTTCTTGACATTATTTGAAGGTGGGCTCAAATTCGATTGTTTAGAGCCTCGGCTTTATACAAACTGCACCCTTAAAATATATTTTTATTTTTATTTATAAAGTTTAAAGCCTCTAAATAATGTATATTGATAGATCTATGAAAACTTAAAAATCTTGAAAATTAACAGTTAAAAAATGCATTTCAAAATACATTGTTCTCAAAACTTGAAATCCATTTTTTTCTCATGTTCATGCATCTTGACGTCACGGTGATTAATTTGAAGATATTTGAGCATCAAAACCGTGAAAGTTTTTAGGTAGGCTCTAATTGGATTGCTTAGATCCTCGGCTTTATATAAATTTTTTCCTTAAATGTTTTAGCAGGGTAATTATTATATAAACATTTATGAGAATACCCCTGAATTTTGGGTAATATTTCATGAATGCCTTTTGTATATGGGTGTGGTTTATATAGAGCCTAAGCTCTAAACAATCCAATTAGAGCGCGTGTTGAGAAATGTGGTTTCACTTGCAATTTTTGTGATAGCCTTAAAATATATCTTCATATTTATTTATTAAATTTAAAACTTTAAAAATAGGGTAGATCGACAAATTTATGAAAACTTGAAAATCTTGAAATTGACAATCTAAACAAAACTTGAAATCCAATTTTTTTTCATGTATATACATCTTGATGTCGAGCCGATAAATTTTAAAATATTTAAACATCAAAACAACTGCTAATGAAATTTTCAAGATAGGCTCAAATTTTATTGGTTAGAGCCTAAGCTCTATATAAACTTTTCCGTTTTGAGTGTTCGAAATGTTGGGAGGAAACCATGAGTGACGAATGTACCCTCCGATAACAATATAATGACGAAATCATCCTGCAACTGTGACGAAATATCATTTGAAAGCAAATTGAATTTGTTTTCCTTTTCCCAGGAGTGGAGGTTATATCTGTTAGTTTAGTGACCTTCTGTGCTATTTTCGTCCTTTAACGTTCGTATTAAGAGTCCCTTATCCAAAAAGAAACCGCGGTCAGTTGCCGTACCCATTTCTGCTTTTCCTGGACACAGGTGTCAGATTCAAAAGCTACTAATAATGAAACTGAACTCCGACTCCTAAATTCAATTAATTACTCAAATACCCCTTTCTTACTCAAAAGTTAATAAAAGGTTCGTAGAATTAAAGCAAAAAAATGTTGTTTTTAATCTTGAGAAACCTCTAATTGAGCATCCCAACATGGGGATGTATGAATACGAAAAAAAAATAAAAGTAAAAAATAAAATTGAGCTTTAAAAATAGTGTATTTTGTAACACATTGTCTATAAATTGTTTATTTTCAAGATTTTCATATGTTTATAGACCTACTTAATTTTATTTATTTTTTAAATTTAAAATTCTATCATTAGATATGAAAATAAATTTTAAGATGATTTTAAGAATTCTTTATATCAAAATTACATATTATAATAAATTTGGAAGTGCACCTCAATTGGACTGTTTGAGGTTGCAACCCTACAAAAACCCCACCCTATATGCCTTATTACTCAAGGAAAATGTTTTTATAAGGCCGTAGCACTATCAAAATATATAAAGCGTTACCTCCAAACTCACCAATAATAATTGTTATAGTGTCGGAAAAACCTTCAAATCCATTGTCTTAGCCCTAAATATTTGTAAACAACAAAAAAATTAGGGTTTCAAGCCTTAATGCATGATGTGATTTCAAGCCAAAAAATAGTGTATGTTGCAACACATTACCTAAACATCTGTTCCATACAAATGAGTATTGACAATTCAAGTTATGTGTTTTCTAGCTTTAAATTTTGCAATTAACATTAAATTTTGATGACGAAAGTTCTTTCTATACAAACAATCCAGGTGAGACCCTCCATTACTCAAACTTCCCCTTCTCAAGAGTCAAATATGCCCACTCCGGGACGAAATTCAGTAGCTTCTCCTTGGTTATTTGATTATTATTTTTAAAGGAAAAACTACATATGTATTTATTATTTCAAACATTATTATAAATTTTACTTAAAATTTTCCTAAAACTTTCTATTGATACTGCTCTAGCTATTTTATATCCGTTATTATAACATTTTATCAATATTTTAAAGAATGACAAAATTATTTTTTAGATTTTTAAAATCTGAAATTTATTTTTGCATGAATTAAGTATGATTGAATTTTTTGGATTTTCAAAAATAAAAAATTTTAAGTTTTGGATTTTCAAAATTCAAAAATTACAAAATAAAAAATTTACAATTTCTAGTCTAAAAGGTTTTTTATTTTGATACTAAGTTCCAAGAATAAAGAAATTTCCGACTTTGATGGTTTGAAATTTTTTTCTTACAGATCTTTAAGATCTTAAAGTAAGAAAATTCCAAAATTTTGGAAAAAAATCGGGGCTCTTAAACAAGAGGTATACATATAATATCCAAAATTTTGAATGTAATAAGTAAAAATTTTAGAGAAAATTGTAATAACAAAACTAAAATGGCGGTCCCGTAAATATCCATTAAATTTGTCCCTTTTTATAGATTTTTTCATTTTATATATTTTTTATTTTTATTTTTTTACAAGGAGTTCATAAAGAGCAATGGTCCAATGCAACAGTGGTATTGTAGTATATTGCAACGACACTTCTAAAAAATCATGTTTGTGGTATTTGTATGACTTCAAATTTTTCACATATATTCTCTTCACCTCAATAATCAATCCTAAAAAAAAAAAAAGTTAAATTTGAACATTTTCAAAATAAGTCCCCTCCAAATGAATCTAGACCATTCATTTTGTGAATTTCAAGATCTTAGTCTTTATAAATTCAAAATCATTTTTTTCTTTTTTAACATTGTCTATCTAATGATAATAAAGCCATTCAAAAAAATTAGAAATGAAAACATCCTTCTAAAGCCTAGATCTAAATATCCCACCAAAATAAAAAAAGCTTATATTAATTGAGTTAAAAAAATATTTTATAGATTGTATTTTTAATTTTTAATTTTTTTAATTATTTATTAAAATAAAAAATATATATATTTCAAATTTTAAATCAAACAAATAGCTATGAGATTATTTTTTTAAAATTATCGCATCGTATTGTTGCATAAAATTGTCTGTTCATAAAATCAAAAAATTGAACGCTTTTTACGCCTTCACGATCAGGCAGGCGTCGCCCATGTGACGCCACGTGTTACATCCATGAACCGGGATGGGCGACAAGTGTCCTCTGGTTTGACGCCAGGCTGTTCTCCAGTGCCGGCAGCTCCTGTAGTGCCTGCAGGACTTGCCAGTGACGTCGCCACGCCTCTCTCTCTCAAACTACCTCTTTCTCTCTCTAACTCTTTCCATTTCTATTCCTTTCTCTCTCTAAAATTCTCACTATTATTCTCTCTTTTTTAAATTGTTTCTCTCCCTAAACATCTCTTTCTAAATTTCTCTCTTTTTTGGGTTCTCTGAATGCTAACCTTTTTGTGTTGTGTTTATTTTATCGCTCCGTTGATTGCGGATTAGAGCAAAAAGAAAGAAATTAGGGTTTCTTTTTGGTCATTGACTCGGGTTTGTGGAGGGGTGTTTGTGCGAGAGACGCGGCGATGACCGAGAATATTTCGTAGACCAAAATGCCCTTGGAGTTCCCTAGAATAACGGAAATGGACTTCAAGGGACCTTTGGATCTTGAATTTTGCAAATTCGGCGGGACGAAAAGGCAAATTGTTTGTTATCGAACCTAATTCGTGTCGGTGAAAAACATAA